TTTGCTTAATGAGAGGACAAATTATCCTCTTCCACACAGAAGAAAAAAATAATACTGACTTTATTTTGGTTGTTGGCCACATGAGTGGGAACAGCTGGAGTGTAACTGGTGTGCACTCCACCATACACAGCTGAAGAAAGAAAGGTACTTTCTATTTGTTTCCCTTTTTGCTTTGCTCCAATGACTCAAAATCATGAAGAATCGGCAGTGCTTTTTCACATACACAGGCACAAACTTATTTTACTTATATGTAACTACTACCAAGGCAGCACAAAGGGGCATTCCCCTCTACCAGAAAATTTGTCCTTTCTCAATGTTTCCCACAGAACTTGGCAGGCCCCTGGGGCTGCTTTCACATCTTTCAGGAACAGGGGCTGAGGCCTTTCTACCTTTGGAGAAACACCGGCAACCACCAACCCTCAGGAGTTGAGGCTCTGGGCTCCTTCTCTAGGCGGCAGATGAAGCAGCAGGGAAAAGACAGGCATCTCCTTGAACTGAGAGCTCATCTGTTTCCAGGAAGGCACCATGTGCCCATTGCAGACCCAGTACTTCCCAGCCTCAGGCACATACCCAGCAGCAGCCCATCTGAACATTCTGGGAATATCGCCTGTTTATAGCGATCTGTTTCTAGTAAGTTAAGTTTCTGAAACAGATCAGCACAGCATTTAAAATAATTAAAAATAAATGCCTAACTCTGTTGGCTCACCAGATCTGAGATGGTTTTGGGCAGCTGGGAGCCAGCCCCTAGAGCTCCTTCCCCTTAGCCCTCCTCGGGTTTCTTACCCTTTCTCAAGGTGAATGTTAGTTACCTTCATGAAAGATGTCTGTGCCTGGTTCAAGAATCGGAAACCCTTAATGCACTGCCCTCCCCTGATCCTATGGGCTGGTTGCCAGGTGAGACAGAGGAAGAGAGGCATTGACCAGTTATGTGCCGAAGGCTATGTCTGAAGTTGGGAAGAGGCAGGGACAAGTTTCATGTCTCATACCCCTACTGCCCTCTCATGTGTGGCTAGACACCAGCAACCTTGCCCTCATTTCTGTGTGAGTCAGTTCTACTCCCACACTGGGCACTCTGTAGGCCTCTTCTCCTGGGCCTGGGGGATGGGCCATCTGCCTACCCTGGAGACCAGTCAATACAGCTGTAGCCTTCCAGGCCCAGGCTGTTGAAGGTGGCAGGAAATTCCTCAACTTGGATCTTGCCTAGCTCTGGGGCCTGGGCCACCACCACAGTTGCCCCACTTGGGGCCAAAGGCTGCAATCCAGCCTACTTTAGAACTAGAAGCACACTCTGGTTCAGAAAGACCACGCTGGGTGTGAAAAGGAGTGTATGTGTGCATATGTATGCATCACAGGACTCTGTCTCCCCTTCCTTGTCTGTCTTGGTAACAGGTGGCTTCTCAGGTAGAGGCAGCCTACCCACAGAAGCTGGGACTCCAACTTTCTCGTTTAAGCCCTAGCTGCATCAAGATCTTAGGGCAAGGGACACAAGGAGTGAGGCTGTCACAAAATGCTACCTAGTAAAATTCAGCGGCAACAGGCTATCTGGGAGTGTCACTGGAGGGCCTGTGACCCCAGGCACCTGGTCTACCAGGCTTCTTGGTTAGGTGTGTTTTCGGTGGGACATAACCCACCTAAGAGGATGGTTTCTTACCTTCCTCACTGAACATGGCTGATCTTCTGAGCAGTTAACAGAAAGGAGGAGTCTCCTTAAGTGAGCCAGTCTGGCCAGCTCATAAAGTGAAATAAAGTAGCACATCTCTCCATTTACCATTTTCCACTCTGATTTCTAAGAAGGGACTATGAGGATTCAAGGATCAGAAGGGATTTAGAAGCCATCAGACACGGCGGTTTCTTGGACAGAAAGGAGCAGTGCTTCTAATGGGCTATTCCCGGGTACTCCAGCAGCCTTCCTTTCTGGTTGCCTGTCTAAAACCACAATCACCATTTCCTGCCACCAGGGGTTGCTGTGAACTGCTGCTAACTCCTGCCTGCTTCCAGCTCCAATCAAAGTGAGCCCCTCTGAGGGACAAAAGGTGTTTGGGACCAGCACAGGTGACTTCCAAACTCTTCTTTCCCAGCAGGAATGCACC